TGAGTAGATACAAGTAACCAATAAAATGAACGTAACTAAAGAAGAACAGTAAATCGTATGATAATAGTCTATAGATGAAAATGAATCTTATAATAAGAGGAATATGAATATACACAATCTAATTACTGAATAGTTAAACAATAAGAATATATGACTAACATTATTTCATTTAGATAATCTGTTTCAAATGCCGATTAACTTGCGAAATGCAACCAACCATTTATAAATACTTGTACCTTCTTGACGAAGTTCGACCACTATGAGCAGCCCAATGTCCTTATTGGAATGCGACCGCTTCGCCACCATTGTAAAAATATATTACTTAAATTTTCTTAAAATTAACAAATAGATTTGTAACATAAATCGATTGAATTTTCTCTTCTTTTTATTATTTTTAATTCCTAGTCAAATGAAGATATGAAAAGGACGTATAACAACTGGAAAGGGTTGGAGAGGGTTGACTAGAACATAGTTGAATGGAGAGTGTTGGTTGGCGTCCTATGCTCGCTCCTTCACGAGGAGTAACAGGGGTAAATAGTCAAATATTGGCATAAATCATTGAGGATCTTAAAATATAGTCATTTCAAATTATTGCTCCATACAGTTATTGTATGATAAAAGCATTTTGATTGATTATTAGTATTATTACTTTATTGAGTATCTTCAACTTCTGTGAATAAGCTAATATGTATGGATTATTAGATGTCAGTTTCAGTTTATACGTACATGATTATAGCAGAAGACAAAATACGAAGATTGTTATATTCTAATGAAGATTAAACTATGGGCAACTTCTGTCAACTAATAATGAACTAATACTATAAATATATTCTTATTGTATAACCATTCAGCAACTAGATTGTGTATATTCATTTTCGTGTAAGCTTCATTTTGATCGATAGACTATGATCATACGATTGACTGTTCTTAAGTTATACTCAGTTTATTGATTACAGTCTCACCACAATCACTCCCACAGCCACATCTTGACTTCACATTTCATAAATGTTATTTCCTATTGGATAGTGTGATGCGGCGGTGTGTTTGGCTGGTATATAAACCAAGTATGTTTGAAATAAATGGTTTACATAATGGAAGCTTTTATTGATGTTCTGGACTGAAGTCGACGGGCTAGGAAACCAAAAGAACTGATAAGGATATTAGGCTGTTCTTAGTGGTCGAACGTTATTGCTTTGGTACAGTTTTAAACCTGTATAAGTTTTATTTCAATTTGCGGATAACTCACGTGAAAACTAGCTGGGTTTCAAAGTCACAACAAAGTGTTAACAATTTCATAGAATGTGTTGTTCATATAACAGTCGATCATAATGCAATCACTAAATGAATTTAAATTCAGGTCGAAGTAGAAAATGGTAGAATGCTATATCAGTAATTCATAAGGTTATTGAGTTCATTGAGATAATCTATTTCAGATGCCAATTTACTTTAGAAATGCAACCAACTATCAATCCATTGATGAATACATATTGGTCCCATAACACCATTCTGTTGACGTACTAACGAGTTTCTATGCAGATAACGTGGAATATGTTCTAAATGATTTGCTGCCGAAAACGTTTTGAGTTTCAGGCTGAAAATTAATCATAATCTCTTAAAAAGAAATCTCAGTTTATACATATTTTTATAATGGGAATGTGGGTTTGTGGAGATTGTAGTAATTGAATGGTTGAATTCATGAGTCGATTTAAGATAGGCCATCACAGAAAACTTGGAGAGACTGGACGGCCGTTTCGCTGTAGTATGGAACTCCTAGGCGGTGTGCATCCACGATCCCGTACTAGGGACTCCAACCCAGGAACCTCGATCTCGCTCTTGAACGCTTACCCTCTAGACCACTGAGCTGGAATCCAATAGTATTTATGTCTAACTTCGACCAGTCTGAGATATTGCGCGATCATCCACCATTATCTTCGAGTCGATAGTGCGATCAGTGGTCTGGAGTTTTGTTCTATGAGCTGGCCCGACCTTTGTTGTTACCTTGACCTGGTGGTCGGGTTTGCCCATCGCGATGAAACAACCGAGCTATACTGGCTGGAACAACCGTTCCTCAAGGTCCTACTATGTCCGACAGGTCGGTTGGAGAGCGGTGAGACTAAAAGCAACAAACCCATATTCCGGATGCGAAGTCGTACAGCTGACTGTACAGAGGTGTGACAGCAGTAAGGTGTTTCCTTCAGACAACCAGCATGACAGCGATGCTGCCTTCCAACAAGGAGGGGTTGGGTTAGAAAAGGTTTACCTTAAAAATGCACACCTCGCCTTATCCCACGGATATCCGTCTCCGGCGATAAGGTCTCAACAAGTATGGAGCTGATACAAAAATTACCCATAGAAGATTGTTGCTCATTCTGGTGTACCTACTTGGACTTTGACCATGCCCTAATATGGGCACGCATCTGCTTGCGCCTCACTGGATGCAAAAAAGCCACACCAAAAATAACCATTAGAGTTGAATTGAGTAACGAGAAAACCAAAGTAGGTTCCAGGGACAACTGAGGTCACACTTAGGTAGTTCTGAAAACGAGGCTGATCCAGATGTTGCTTGGAAAGCTATACAAACAGCTGTGGAAACAGAAGTGACATCTATCAGTGATTAAAACCACAGGGTTACAAAGAACTAATGAATTTCTTCTAGGTCTATTGCACTGATGGATTCTCGTAAACTCATCTTATCAGGCCCTGAACACGATGAATAGCGACAACAAAGCAGATCAAGATTAAGCAAAAGTCTAAGGAACGACCGTGAGCAGTGGTGGGCAATGAAAGCAAAAGAAATGAAAAAGGCGGCGACTATAGGGAACACAAGACAGCTCTATAGGCCAATAAAGGAAACTGAAATTAAAAAGTCAAGTGTAAGTCAGACTATTTCGGAAAAAGACGACACCCTCATCTGCTCTCAGTCCAGACGTTTAGAACCATGGGTGGAACATTTCAGAGAAAAGTTCAGGTGGCCTTCAGATACTCTACAACTACCCTCCATTCCCAGACAGTGTGAATGGAACATTGAAGTAGGTCCCCAACTCTAACAGAAGTTCAAAAGGCTATAGTTAATCTGAAACGAGGAAGGTCAGCTGGTCCAGATGGATTGGCTCCAGAGGTCTTTAAGGATGGTAGTCCAATTTTATCGATTACGTTGACGAATATTTTAGCTAAGATCTGGGAGTTAGACGTTATTCTATCTGACTGGCCACAATCACTTATCGTCCCAATATATAAGAGAGAGTCAAAATCATCCTGTGGAAACCATAGAGGGATTAGTTTAACTAATATAGTATCTAAAATACTAGCCTCGATAATTATCAGACGCCTAACCAAGACTCGTGAACTGCAAACACGAGAGAATCAAGCTGGGTTCAGACCTGGTCGTGGCTGCATCCACCACATATTTACCATTCTTCTGTGGGAGGGAACAAACCAGCTTCCAGCTGAGTAGGAAATTAGGAAACGACGATGGAAATGGATAAGACATGCGTTATGGACATCAGCAAACTGCATCACGATGCTAGTCCTAACGTGCAACCCTGAATGGAAACAGAAATGAGGGAGACCGAAGAACACAGTACATCGAGAATTGGAAGAAGACTTGAAAAGGATTGTCTAGGATAGCGTTTGATGGAAAGTACTACTAGGCGTCCTATGCTCCTCCATAAGGAATAACAACCATAAGTTAATCGTGAGTTACAAATCTTCTCCACTATCTTATAAACCCTCAGTCGTAAAAGAATTTTCAGTCAAATTGATTGCCTGATTATATTTACCAATAAAGTCTATTCGTTAATTTGACTATCATTTTATACATAAACTATATCCAATCATCAATTTAGGAAAATAGATTTTAACCCTCTGACCAGTCATTAAAACTATGCCAAAAACAAGTCAGACCTAAATTTTAGTTGTCCCTTATATGATGAACGCGCTTAGGTATGTGCATCCGTAAGGTATGTCAGTCCGTTACAGATCCACATATATATCCATCGATCTATATATCTGTGGGAAATACAAGCATTGGTTTTTATTAGATGTACATATAGAGTCAACGTTTATAGGTTCTATTTACCAGATCTATATCTATATTTAGGCATAATGTTTATAAACAAAACAGTAAACCCAGTATTATTAGGATACATATATCCCTATATCTATATAGAATGTTCTACATCAAAATGGATAGATATAACACATTATAACTGATAAACTATCGACAATATCCTCCTCCTCCTCATCATCATCATCAGTATTATTCTTGTTTCTACATAGATGTAAATAGATCTTTTCTTTTTCTTCATTTTCTTTTCTTTTTTTCTTTCTTTTTGAGGGGGGCGGGGTTGGTGAATGTAACTTTGTTTCTTTTCTTAAATGGTTCCATCATCGAATTGAAAAAAAAACAAAATGAGTATGATCCAACATTTTCATAAAAGATCCGATTTGATTAGGATCATTCTATCTATTATAATGATTTGGTGTATGATTATGTTAATGGATTTATCCAATGGTCATTTATTGATGAAAGAAGAAAAAATTTCACGGAAATTAGTCAATTTGATTCATGCCACAACAACAAATGATTTCAATCTATGTACAATTCATTCACGTCAATTACAATATTTATTATATACTACTTATAATACTACTACTACTACTGCTACTACTACTCATTATAATGATATTCCATCAGCAGCAGGAGCGGGAACAAAAGCGTCGTCAGCATCATCAGCAGAAGGATCAGGATCATCAACAATGATTAATTTAAATGAAACATTTTATCCAATATTTCATCATTTAACCACACAAAACTCTTTAACACAAAATTTCTTGCATGATATATATAGATCTATACAGATTATGAGAAATTTCAATCGTTGGCATAGCAACAACCACTACCACGACAACCACAACCCAACAATCATGATACCAGGAAACAATTAGAAGTCTATTTATTTCATTTATTACAATTAAATCAACCAAATGAATTTTATAATATGAAATTATTCAATAATTTCATCACTATGAATGATGATTATGATCAAAAATCCAATTTAATTGGTATTGGTTATTGTTGTTTCAATAGGATATTAATGGCTTATGTCAATAATCATACTACTAATAATAACAGTAGTATTAGTAGTAGTACTAGTGATTCCTCTGATCGTAATTCTATATGTAGTCAATTTGTATTGAATGTAGAATTATTTGATAATAATAATGAGACTATACGGTTTAATGATTATAAATATGGAGAATTTTCATCCTTTGGGGCACCAATTCAATGTGAATCTAATTCAACCATATCAATAGTTTTACGATATTTTATTTATGCAAAAGGAAAAAGGTAAGTCTAGGAGTAAAGTGTGTTATGCCGGTTACTCCCAATGGAGTATCGACCGCTGACCAGCATTCTCCAATTCACTCAGTTCTCGGCCTTCCTTTCTAGTTCTATCCAAGTTTCGTTTATTTTTCTCATGTTTGTCTCCATTTCTCGGCGTAATGTGTTCTGTAGTCTTCCTCTTCTCCTCCTTTGGCCTTGGGACTCCATGTGAGAGCGTGTCATGTGATACAGTTGGGTACTTTCCTCAATGTGTATCCTATCCACTTCCTGCGTTTGAAGCGAACGGTACCGGATTCGAGTCCCGGAATGAGCATCAACTCCGGGAGACAGGTTCATCCAGCTGATGACTCCCAAATAGGATTAAACGCGCGTCAAACTGGATTCCACTGCTAGCAACTATCCATCTTTGCTTAATAAGCGATCTTGTTAGCACATTGATGTGTATTATTTTGTCATATTTTTGGTTATCCCACTAACAGTATATTCACTAATACTGTTACTGAATACATCATGATGTCCACAGTGAACACATAAATTCTTATATTGTCAAATCTCCAGTCACAGTATTTAATAGTCACCTAGGTCACTAATATTTCTATTTTTAGACCTATATGTTTTGCGGTTACATTTATAAAAAATGAGACCACAAAGATAATGATCAATAGTGGTAGTGGAATTCTGTGTATTAGGTTTGTAGTGTAACTACAAGGTTTAATGATCCAATAGTTAGTCACCATGGATTAGTCTATGAAACCAATTGATGTCAGACAACTTCTCCTCATTCAGTAATTTCAATAGAAACTTCATGGATAGAAGTTATTGGCAGAGAGGACTTTAGTTATTGATTGGCTTGTTCTGTCAGTCTATTGTTTGAATATCATACTGAACAATCTAAGAATCCATTCTGAATATAAATTTGGTGAATACAAAAGTCACTTATGAATTGTCATAAAAAAAATTGACTGACCATAAATATACTGCGTATTTTTCATTTAAGCTCAAAGATTGTGTTCTTCACAAAATTTCTGAATTTATTAGGTGTGCAAAGATAGTTAGTAGTAAGTCCTTGACTTAAAGTTGCTACTGGTTGACTTCAGCAACATATACCTAGAGTCTTAAACGGAACTGATGTTGTCTGTGAAATCTCATAAAAGCCAATCAGTTCGACAATTAGAAATGATATCAACAAGTTATTTGGGTTGTGGCAGATCTTCTGTACAACTTAGATGTCGACACTAATTTATAGCTGAATAATATCTGAAGTTGCAAAAATAAGCCCCTGGGTCTTGACTCAGTCACCGTACTCGCCGCACGGCCTGAAGTTTCTAAATGAAATCCGTGATAAATTATTAAATGCACACTACCTCAGAGTTGTAAACTAGAATCAAATATTGATTCCATTCATAGAAGGGGGAGACAAAGAGTATATACATCTACACTAATGTGGTCGATTGTCAGCTATGTCACCCACAGTCTCCAAACGCTGGTTACGGCAGTCACGCGGACCCCAACCAAGTAGTCTACTATTATCTACCAACATGGTTCAGACTAGAAGTTAGTGACTTCAACCACTGATGCCACGTTTTGGTTTGGTCCCCCCCTTACTTTCTTCCAACCACCTCCAGCACCGGTTAGCATTGCACGTCGTGATAATCGGTGTTCGGGCATACGTAACACGTGGCCCAACGATCTCGGTCGATGAAGATTCACAACCTTATAGACTGATTTACCATCATCATTCCCTAATACCCTGCATCTAAACTCACTACTACTTATCCGGTGATCCCAGCAGATGCCAGCAATATTTCTGAGCCATTTGTGGTCAAATACTAGTATCTTACGAGTATCTTCTACTCTTAATGGCCATGTTTTACAGCCGCAAAGTAGAACAGAACGAACTGATATAGAGTGTACTTGTCTTTTTATTGACAGGTGGATATCTCACCTTCGCCATAGGTGACGTACGTCGGCAATGGCGAAATGAGCTTTTTGAATCTGTGCTGAGGTTTCGTCAGACACCAACGCATTAGGGTTGACCAGACATTCAAGATAAGTGAAGTTGTCGACACGTTTGACTACTTCACTTCCAATCTATAGTTCAGGTGTTGACGCGGGCCGGTCCTGAAGCAACAACTTGCATTTAGAGTGGGAGAAACACATTCTAAACATCCTGGCATTGTTGCTCATTGGAACCAAAAGACTGCATTTTATCAGCGTCTTCACCAAACAGAACTATGTCATCTGCATATTCTATGTCGATAAGTGGATCTCCTGGAAGGAGATCAATACCCGAGAATTCAGTAGACGAGAATGTTCATCCCATCAATAGGCCTATGATGAAGTTAAACAAAAATGGAGAAAGTGGACAGCCGTGACGGACACCACTTGAGGTTGCAAAAGTAGATGACAGATCGCCATAATTCAACTTAGTCAACAACAACAGAATGATGTTGAGTGACAGATTGCTCAAAACTATGAAATATGGGAATAACATTAGTCAGTGGTAATCTGTTGGCTAGTGAAAAGTCTGTTAACATTATCATAGTACATGCATGACGGCTTATCATCCATTTGATGATTCTGATAGATGGATTGAATAAATGAATAAATAGTTGAAACTAAATAGATAATGAGCATCCAAATTTATGAATGAGTTATTATTATTGTTTTTAAAGTGATTGTTTATCACATCACTTTAATCGTATTCTATGTAAAAGGACAGTAGGTAGTTAATGATCAGCCCCTCTAGACCAATTATGAAAACAGCTGCACACCTTCCAACGGAATGATGTATGGCGTTTGATCGATTTTCTTGAATTCGCCTAATAATACAAAGGCCTTTAAATAGCTTGCATTTAAGAATAAGATTTGATAAACTGAGAATTCTGTCCGATTAAACCGATTGAATATAGCGTAACACTGCGTTCTATCATTTCCTTTACTTCCTATATAATTTTCAAAGTAAAATTTATGATTTCTTATTCTCAGTGTATATTATTTGAGCATTTAGTTAATGAGCATATTTCTGTTGAACTCAAGTGTCTACAGAAACATCATTGATCATACTTTGTTGTTGTCTATCACCTCATTTCATCTCGTTAATCAAACAATATTGTATTCTCTTTACTGTATGCTGTATGGTGGGCGTAATATGAATCTTAATTAGAATAGAACTTATCGCATTCCAATGATGTGCTTATCTGACTGACCTTCACCTACATACATTCACGGAACTAAAATGAGTGAATTTCTCATTTCAGAAAAGATTGATACTTTTCTAAATATAAAATGACGTGAAAACAATTCATTTGGCTGTCAATTCATAGAAAGTCTCACTCTAACTATGAATGAACACTGTGACCATTTGCCATCTAATTTCGAGTGAGTTTAGTCGTCGTTTACTCGTAGAACCATTTGGTTTTCGCCTTCTTTAAAATCAAGAGAATGACATATTAAGAGTATTGACTGAAATCGAAGTAGTGAATAACTATTGTATGATGGTAAATAATTTGATCACTTCGATGGCGGATCATGAATCGATGAATGTCAGACCAACAATGAGAACCTGGAAGGGTCAAACGGTCGTCTTGTCACAGTACGGAACTCAGCAGCAGTGAGATTCGGATCCAGGTCTATTGGTCTCACGTGCGAACACTTAACCTGTATACCATTGAGTCGACCGGCATCCAACGGTTTCAATGTCTAATTTCAGTTAATCCACGATATTTTGCGACTGTTCACTATTGCGTTCAGTGAGTAAGTGCATCACAACCCACATGGATGAAATCCAATCATCACGGCTTCTCACTATGACTTCATGGAATCCATCATGAAAACAGTCCCTAGTCATCACATGTAGTGGATAATAGCGGATAAGATAACAATAATTTCATCATAGAATATCGATGTTTGGAGAGTATTTGACAGACGCTCGATATCAGATATATGAAATGAACAATGATTTGAATAAACGTCAAATGCTCTTTAAGCAGACGACGTATGGAAGTAGTAAGTCACTGATCATGATATATTTTATGAGAACCGAAAGTATTGAGATCAATTGAAAAAATGTCAACACCTTTCACATCACTGACTACATCACATCAATTCATAGAACATGGCTGGAGAACAAATTAAACAGAATAGAGGGAAGTAGTATTTGGATCGGCCACAATTAACGGCTACTTAATTACGACTCTTCCTCCGCGAGGAGGAGCATAGGCCATTCAGCAGTATTCTCCATCTAACCCTGTCCTTAGTAATCCTTCTAGCTCCTTCCAGTTTTCATTCATCTTTTTCGTATGTTCTTATATTTCCCGACGTAGTGTGTTCTTTCGCCTTCTTCTTTTCCGCTTCCCTTCAGGATTCCAAGTTGGGGCTTGCCCCGTGATGCAGTTTAGTGATTTCCGTAACGCATGTCCTATCCATTTCCATCGTCGTTTCCTAATTCTCTCTTCAGCTGGAAGCTGGTTTGTTCTCTTCCACAGAAGGCTATTGCTGATGGTATCCGGCCAATGGATGTTGAGTATCTTGCGTAGACAGCTATTTATAAATACTTGTACCTTCTTGATGACGGTTGTTGTAGTTCTCCAAGTTTCAGCTTCGTACAGTAGAACTGCCTTGACGTTGGTATGGAAGATCCTCACCTCGATATTGGTTGAAAGTTGTTTTGAGTTCCATACGCTGTTGAATTGCAGGAATGCGGACCTTGCTTTGCCAATCCTCGCCTTTACGTTTGCATCTGAATAAATTGTTCATCGATGTTGATTCTCAGGTACATGTCCTAGAGAGATTCGTCACGAAGTATGATTGAGTGGTTGTCTTCCGTGTTGCATTTGGCGATGTTGGATTTTCCCTTGAGTATGTTGAGATCTACTGATGCAGAGATTGCTGCTACACTGGCTGTCTTTATCTGCATTTGCTGGTATGTATGCGATAGGAGGGCTAGGCCGTCTGCGAGATCCAAATCGCCTAATTTATTCTTAGCTGTGCATTGCATGCCA